ATTTTTTTCGGAATAAACAACGACCTTTGCTACGCCGCTGCTCGGTTACCTTGGTGGTATAATTCACGCCGTTTCGGTCCAAGGTACTCAAGGGGCACCAGAACACGGTGGCAGAGTGCCATGAATTATACTAGCAAGAAACGGGTAATTTTCGGTACGTCAAAACGAGAATTTTGACGTAAATATGCTACGCCACTGATCGTTCGCTTGTTGTCCTCGGTTCTCCAGCCAATGGTTTTCTTTGTTGGCTTTTTCTCCTTTTTTTCTGAATTTTTGAAAAAAAAAAAAACATATACCGTCATCCGAAAAAGCTGACCCCCGGTTGGCCAACCGCCGTTGGCCAACTCTTCGGACGTGCCATTTCGATTCCGATCGTCTTGGAGCATAAAACCATTTTTTTTTCTTTTGTCAAGATAAACCCGTAATGATGGTTACCTTTTCATATTTCTCCCGACCACCTCCCCCCCCCCCCAATCTCCTACTTCCGTACGTGAACACGTAAACCATTCCAAATATCACTTTCGTTCCTTCTTATTGGAGACTCGCGAAACTTCGTAAACTGAGTTCCGCAACTCTACAACTAAAAATAAAACACTCGTTTTGACTATCTGGCATTTCAATTACTGTTGAGAAGGTATCAAAGTCTTCAGGTGAGCGCAGGAGCCACTTGCGCTACCCCTCTCGAGCGCCGTGCTACCAACAGCCACCATACTACGAAGCCAAATTAAAGAGTTCTCTGCACCCCACATCACGGCAAAGGCTTCGCAAGCTCAGCCAATTATGTTGCAATGTTTTCAAGCGAAAGACTTCCCTCTCTTGAGTGAAATTGCTAGAATGGTGCTGGTGACTCCGGCCTCATCGGCATTGTCGGATCGCAAGTTCAGTGCTGCTGGGCTGCTCCTCACATCAACAAAGAACTGTTTGTCGCCGGAAACCACTGGCAGTATCTTAATTTACCATGATTATCTGTTGAAAAAGAAGCGGTTACGCAATCAGCGCAGAAAGCAGAGTCCGGCTGATTAATTGAACTAATTGGTTGTTGTGTGTTAACCCAATTTTTTTTCACAATGTTAAGAAATCCTATTTATTTTATTATGTTTTGCGTTATGTTTGGTATTACTGCGACAAAAATGTCTGAATGAACTGTTGCTGTTACCCCTAATTAAACTTTTGTGCTCTGCATTACTTTGTCTTTACTTCACGGATTTGGATCATCCGAGAGCAGGAATGGTCTGGAATGGTCCTGTTCTTCTGACCTGCAGTCACTACACTTTTGTACTACTTTTGTACCGGATCAATGAAGTGGGCAAGTACAAACACACCGCGTTTCAGCAGTTTCTTCTCTCTATTTGTGTTTCCGCCCTCCTAGTGCGTTATATGCTTGAGCCAACCGCTCCGGAACTGACCTTGCTAGCAGATCAGTCCTGTAGCCGCAACTTTCCTGTCACTTTGACGGCAGGTTGTTAAGCGCTTCGCAATAGGCCTGCACTTGGCGCCACTGATAACCGAACAGATTTAGGAGCCTCCTTTTCTTTCCTGTCGTAGTTGGCTGCGAAGCCTGCTACTCCAGTCACAGAGAGAGAACAGGTACGTACGTTTTAGTTAAAATTTTATCAAGCGATGTCGGTGTCGCATGTTGTCATATTGGTGGCCTATTTTGACATGAATTTGACATCACGTAATGTCATGTGATATTAAAATAGCGTCAAATCAGGCCACAGAAATGACAAAACTTTGACACTGACATCACCTGATGTTATTATGACAAAACCGTGATCTCTGGGAGTAATCGAAAAAGTTTCGCGCACGTCTGTCTGTAGGCACGATTGTTCCATAACGGATTGAGATAGATACCTGAAGATGGTAAAGAGCAAGGAGGTTCGGATAGCACTTAGTCTTCTTGTAGAAACAGTCGATTGGACCGTCTAAAAGCTAGAGGGGTAGTGTTTTCGTCTTATTTTAATCAATTCTACAAAAACATCAAAGCACACGTGCACAATGCTGTTTTCGTCACGCAAAAAACCTTTTAAGCCCCAAATACCAGCTCCATTTGGAACGCCAAGAGCGGCCATAATGAAATCGTAGTCAAACGACATGTTTCCTCCCGTGTATATTGCCTGTAACATTTCGAAGATACTATTTTAGAAGTAACATTAGCATGTTATACACAAGAAATATTTATCAATGCAGTTCCAGGTTGTTCCTCGACGCCCCCGCAGTAAGAACCGATCTACAAACCGCAGAAGTTAAAGAGCGTGACCGCGATCGAAACAGATGGGCTAGTCTTTCGGGGCAGCGAAACAGATAGGATTTTGTTGCACGGAAGCGTCGACTTTCGGTCAATTGGAAGTTTCAGTTCAGTTAGAGTGCCGCTGCTTAAGCACTTTACAGATATTGTTAAACTACCTTTTTGAAAGGGCATGTCATCTTGGGCTCCCATTGTTCAATAATCGATGACCAAACAGCGTTTTTAATAGGCAACAATGGGCAAATATTATGCTTCCATTCAAGTCTTGAAAAATGCTCGCACTGGTCTGTTGTATCTCTGCACCGACGCAAGATCCCCGTCATCTGAATGATCAGAAATTAGAAACACTACATGAATCTTTCAAGTCTTTACGCGCCCAATTATATTCGGATTTGAAAGTCGCGTATAGTCTATTTTCGATGCAATTATCGCTTTGTGTGAGGATTTGACAAAACGTCTTGCTCTAGCGTGACATCATTCGGTTCGGCCCGACCGATTTGATGAAAATTATTGCGCTCAGGGTGAAAAAATCGTTAGTTCAGTTAAAACAACAGGCGAGGGGAGTAGGGGGGGGGGCGATCAGACTACTCCAAAGGGTGCCGCTCTTCCGCTACCATGCTTTTTGGGGGTCACTTTTTCATTTTCCTAGGCTCTTGGGCGGGCCTGCGGGCCCGCTTACTCCATTAGGCGCAGGTCAATATTGTGACGGTGTGACACCGAGACTGCATTTTTAGAGCACCCTATTGTGGCTCCTTCCCATGCCCCTTACGCTGGTAAAACTCTGTGCATCTCGTGTGCAGCGAAACGTTGCGGTGAGAAGCTCGTCCCCTCTTCTGTCCAGGAGCACTGAGTGGTTAAGCAGTATGGCTGCGTGGTTCATACTCGCAGGACAAGATGAAACTTGACGCCAGCGGCCAATATAGCTCGGTATCTAAAATCACAACAAGAGTTTCACAGTTGTTGGAACTGTGGACACTTGGAATGCCCAAATATGATGTTGCAGGCTATCCTTAACATAAGTGAAAAAGAAGAAATTCATTGGTTTGTCAGTTTCGGTCCGGTGAGTATCAAAAATTGTCGAGATACTTTTGTCCCTTTCTAACGTCTCAAATATGAAGGCGACGGGCTCAAAACTGATCTCACAGTTTCTCATGCCTAAGAGTGTGTGGAGGCACGTAATCAGATCGACGAACCAGAGCCATTACGGAAACAAAAAAATCAGTCAGTCCGTTCTTTTCCTACAGCCGTTTCAGATTGCACCCAACGCCCTATTACCATTCGATCCTCATCTTTGTCGTCACAATAAACATAGCCTTATGAAGCACACGGTCACTCAATACAAATCGAGCAGGTCCGTCCTTCCGCCTTACTGAGTTGCCAGCTTTGCTTCGCTCCGCTGGCAACTCCGTTCGGCAAGGGCCGGGCCGCCCGACTTGGCCCGGCGAGTAAATCACTTCACACGTTTAGTATCTTAGGCTTTAAAGAGCGGGCATGCAGCCCTAGCCAGCATTCCGGTAAAGCCGGAAACAATAAGGAGAATGCGGGAAAGAACAAAACGAAAATCAATATGCTTTAGCATGGTGGCTTCCGTTTCCTTGCTCCTTATATACACTCGTGAGCAAAATTAAAGCCCCACTTTTTTGACAGGGCGTAATTTCGAAGTGTGATTAGGTAGGAGATTGCCCTTTGGCAGGAAGATAGGCTCATATGTTGGCATCAGACCCCTAAAAGCGCAAACCTTGATCACGAACGGTTCGCGAGCTGTGGGGCCTAACGCATCTCGACACCCCACTTCGCAGTGTGGTTAGG